TCTGATTCCTGGGAGGGAGAAGAATTATATGAATGGGTTGTCTGCACAGTACCAAGTCCTTCCACGGCCTTCATGGGCATGTCTTTCTGTCTCTCTTCCAGTGAGTTGGCTTCTGGAACACCAGAAGCATGACCAGGTGGCTCTGAAAGTCCTTTTAGAGAACCTATTTTATTTTCCTCTGGCCTGGCTGCCTTTTCTTTTTTTTTGAGGGACCAGTTTTTCAAACTGGCTATACCATTTCTCAACCATGTGTTGGGGTGAAGAGTTACAGAACGCATTTGTGAATGCCACCCTACACTATCCTTTTTAGTATTAACGAGGTGGCTGCTGCCCTGCCCTGATGATGGACCAGGCATTCCAGAAATAAAGTTGGAACTGCTAAAGTCAGAAGAAAGCTCTCCCTGTTTTCTTTGAGCCTGAAAATTGCAATCTATTGGAGAGGGAGTTTCAGTGGGTGTAAACACGGAATGTTCAGAAGTCTGAGAAAAAGGACTGTCCTGAGAGCTCACTGATGAGCCAGATGGGGAAGTGCCTGGGGAGGATAAGCTGGAACAGCTAGTCTTTGGGCAAAGGCTTAATCTTGGGGGTAAAACCTTCTCAGTGTTTTGGTTTGTGGCACTACTCTTGCCCACCTCAATCCCCATGACCAAACTCTGATTAATAAGCTTTTGCCCCTCTATTTACAAGGACTTATGCTGTTTGAGATAATCCTCCTCTCCCTGCAAGAGAGCGGCTTCACAGCTGGTTTTATGTTGTTTCTTCGAATCAATCCTCCTGAGATAGGTCAGTTTGCAGTGCTGGTTATCTATGATGGGCTCTGAGCAGCGCCGGTGTGTCCCTGAACTCTTGCAAGTTGTGTGTGGCAGGGAGTATCCTGATGTATCTTCATCAAAGGGCTGGTTCCTGGAATGATCTTGTGAGGACATATGACTATATGATGCCACAGAAATGGACACTGGCTTGGACTTAGGGAAAAGTTTCCCAAGATTTCTTTCAGTACCAGACAAGATTTTCTTCTTCATGTTTTGATTGGTGGCGTTTTTCTCACAGACATCAGTGCTTGAAACTGAACTCTGTTTAAAACATGTCTTATCCGCCTCCTGGGGAGGTTGATTCTGCTTCAGATAATCCTCATCTTTTTGAGAGAGAATTGCATCATAGCTGGACTTGCGTAGCTTTTTCTGATAAACCTCCTCGAGAGAGGAAAGCTTAGAATCTAGATAGTCAGTGCTGGGCTCCGAGCAGCGCCGGTGTCGCCTCAGGGTTTTTGGAGCATCTGTTGCATCTGAGGACAGGTAGCTGGGTGTGCACATGTCAGATGGGGCCCTGGCATGCTCCTGCAGTGGGAGGGCCTCTCTGTACATCACTGCAATGGTCATCGGCTTGAATTCAAGAGGCTGTTTCATTTGAATGTCTTCATCTTTAGACTGGTCTAAGTCAAAGTCACTCAGAGTTAAAAGGCCTTCCACCTCAGGCTGGTCAAGGCCTTCCACCTCTGGTTGGTCAAGGTCATAGTCACTAAGGGTTAAGACAGAGTCCATGCTTCTGCTACTCTGGTTAAGTTTCTTTGCCAAGTCACTACATGGAGTGTCCACATCCCCATTTACTTCATTTTCCAAGCTGTCATAGGAAGAGTCACTTGGTTGGAAGCAAGAGATATCTGTCCAAAAAAAAACCCCAAACCATGATTAACATATTTACTTACCATAAATATAGCCCAAGCTGCCTTAAACACAAACTATGGTGCTTAGTTTAATTCTCTTTTCACGTAGAGTGTTCAAATCACTACTCTCAGGAAAGAAAGATTCTGTCACAATCTTCCCAATTGTTAGTGCAGAATAAAAATAAACTGTTGGGGTATACTGTACTAAATTTATCTCAGTTCCTGACAAAATGTTCCTGAAGTTTTTCTCAAAACAATGAAAATGTCATAAGACCATGAAAGGGTTAAAAAAAAAAAAAAAGCCCCAAACCAAAACAACAGCATAAGGGAATTAATACTAGGTATACCTAGATTCCAAATAATTCTAACATGAATTGTTGGTGTTTATACATAATTAACTCTAGTCTTGGGGAAACCATTTACTAACCCTATTAGTTCCTCTTTTACAAAGTTCATTAATACCCATTACCTTATTTAATCTTTACAATAATCATAGTTAGATTTTATTGTTATCCACATTTTACAGATGAAGATACTGATGTTCAGTGGCATGGAATAATGGGCCAAGGATGACATAATTGGCGGTAGAGGAATTCTGGAAGGTTGTATGTCTTTGAATTCAGCACTCCCCCCCCCAAAAAAAAAAAATGATGCTAGTTTTCAAACTGTTTCATAGCACACTAGAATCCTGAGGTGTCTCAGGGACCAGTAAGAGGAAGGAGAGAAAGGAAAACAAGAACAAAAAACAGGTCTGCCTCTACTGCCTCTGGGCCTTCTACCCTAGTTTTAACAACAGCAATTGTATTATATATATTAGGATTCTTCATAAAGTTTTACTAAAAAACAAACAAACAAACAAACAAAAAACTTCAAATGATCATGCCACAGCACGCTGCCATTAAACATTTCTTGAAGGCTGGGACCTCATCTTACACATTTCTTACTTCTAAGAAGCAGGACTTCTAAGGAAGGAACAGAGGCCCTGGGCCCCACTGACCCAGGTCAGATGGCTCTTTCACCTCAGCTGCTGTGGGCTTCTGGACAACCACTGTCCTAGCATCTTCACAGACAAAATCTCTTTCTCACAAAAACCAACCCAATTACTCACAATACCTGAGGCATTCTCTGTAGTGTCACAACTCACTGAAGTCTCTCCTAAGAGGGAAGTAATTTCTTCACCAAATATCGTGCAGCAATTTTCAATCAGAAACTGTACAAGCAGGGAAACCTGTAAAAAAAAAAGGGAGAATGAACTGCTACTTTTCATATAACATGTTTATAAATCACATTTTATGTGAATCTTGATTTTAACAAAAAATACTAAAGTATCCTGAGAAATTTATATGCTTTAAAAGTATACAAAACAGTTTCCCCTAAAAAATACTTTCAAGAGAAGTTTGGGCATAGAACTTAATTTTAATCAGTGGCCTAAAATTATTTGTGTCCTTGACTTAGAGCTAACATTTTATACCAATAGCTCTGTTTGTAACATTAGGATAATTTCAAGTATTCTCTATAGGGTGTTTGGGATGAAGAAATATATTTTGTTATTAAAATTTGTAAAGTATCATTACAAGATAAAGACTTATGAAAAGTACTTCTTGTGTAAAGGACAGCTTGTCCTAAGCTTGGGAAGAGGGCTCCTCTGTGGGTATATTGTGAAGGACAGAGACAGCTAGAAAGAACATTTGTGTTTTTCCTGACTAGTGTCTACCCATGCACTTGTCTGACTAGCTTATCCACTACTGCCTTCCATAAGCTTCCTAACTAAAAGTGCTTGTGGGGGTAAGAGTTTACTAGGGGGCTTTGTGCGTCCATTGAGATGTACTGGAACCTTTCTGTAGTTTCTTACCCCAGTAAGCTGAGGCCAAGGGGCAGGAGGAATGTTGGGAGCAAAGGAAACTAATATCCCCAAATCCTTTATTAACTGCCAGGCACTACAGGAGTGTGATTTCAAGTAACTACAGTATTATCACCACCTCTATTTTTCAGATGAGGACATAGTGGCTCAGGATAACTGACTTTGCCTAAGACTGTACATCTGGCAAATGGTGGGCCTGAGAATTAAACCTTGGCTTGTCTAACTCCAAAGTCCTTGGTTTTTGGGGTTTTTTAAAATAATCATATCAACTGCTTTATTATCACTTTATGGTTTAAGTCAGTTATAAAGTTTAGCCTCCTTAAAGGGTAAAGAGAAGAAACCCAAGTGCAATCTCTTTTCTGCTTAACAATCACCTTCCTATAGCCCATTAGGATAGAATAAAACACTTCATAATCAGTAAACTCAGTTTATAAGGAGGTGTACTTAAGTTAATTAAGAAACTGTCTTTCAGAATTAATGCTCTGAATTTTGGTTTCAAAAGGGGGACTCAGTCCCCCAGGGCATAAAAATGAGAAACTTCTTTACCTTTTTTGTAAATTCATTTTCTACTTCTGGGCTGGAGGAAAGAGGAGGCCAAAGGATGCTTGGAGCGATACACACAGCTAAATTATATGCAGTCATCTGGTTAGACGAGGACTGTTGTTGGATGTTGTGTAATACCCCAAAAAGATACCTTAGGAGAACAACATTTGCTCTCGGAAGCTGGTCTAATAGCCTAGAGACAGAAAAATGTGCTATTTAAACATTTCATTAAAAAACTTTAAAGATGGGCAACCCTAACTTTGCATAAGGAACTGTGCAAGTCAAGGGGGTGAGTCAGGAACAGAGTTCAGATATGCAAGAATTTCTGTTAACGTGGTACCATACAAAGTGAGGACCGCCTCTACAGAAAGAGAAAATTTTAAAAAGCACTGGGGATTTTTTTTTTTGTACACTGCCTTAACAACCCAATGAAAATGTAAAAGAATGCATAAAAATGTCCCATTAAAAAGTGCTGCCTGAAATATTTCCCTGAAACTAGTAAAATGTGTTTAGCTTAGGCAAATCCTAAAACATTTCAGAATATTCTCAACCAAAACCCACAAAAAGTTTTCTGATGAAGTTTAACAGTGATTAAATTTAAAGTGCTTCTTTATTTCCAAGTAGCAACACAGAAATGCTGTCTCTTGGTGAGAACCCAAACCTTAGCTATTAAGACTTTCAGGTCTATTCTGAAAGCGTATGCTCTGCTACACCAGCTTCCAAGGTCAATTTTGTCCCAAATCTCTGTTTCAATGTTATCACTTTCACAAACATGTCAAGCTTACAATAGTATATTTTTTGTTTTCATTTTGTAATTGATAAGGGATTGTATATTTATTTATTTATTTTTTTCATTTTTATTGAATCAAAATTGATTATACATATTTTTGGGGTTCAACATAGAGATATGTTTATCAAATCAATATTACTAGCATAAGTATTGTTACAAATCATAATTATTATTTACACCCTTTGTCCAATCTCTCCCCATCCCCCTCTAATTACCCTAGATTTCTTCTCTCCTTCTTAAAGAATAATGGCTACTCTGTGGATTTGTTGCCTAGATAATCTGTCCAATGCTGAGAGGTGTGATCAGGTCTCCCAATATTATCATAGAGCAGATGCTTCTTCTGTCACTCTGGAATGGGCTTTTTGGAGAGAGATATCCTCCTCTTTTCTTTATCTCTGCTGGTGACTCCCCTTGTGTCAGTGCATTCCAGTGGCTGGGGGACCATTTGCATGGTTGTTGTGGCACCTAGCTGCTTTTGTGGCAGCCATGGTTATTGTGATGGCTGTGGTGGGCCATCCACATGGAGATGATGTTTTTGGCATGCTTCTTGGTGCTGGTGGTGTGCCTGGTTGTGAGGAGTGTCTGGTCCCTGGCTCCATACCTTGGGTCCCCAGGCAGGCCCCAAGGAACTGGAGTGGTGCCTGGTTGTGGGAGGGGGCTTTGGTCCCTGGCTCCATGCTTCAGGTCACCAGGTGGGCCCCGAGGCACTGACATGGTATGTCTGGCTGTGGGTGGGGGTTCTGGTCCCCTTCTCCATGCCTTGGGTCCCCAGGAAGGCTCCAAGGTGCTGGCACAGTGTGTCTGGTTGTGGGAGGGGGGTCTAGTCCTCACTTCATGCCTCATGTCCCCTGGCAGACACCAAGGCGCTTGTGGTATGCCTGGGCTGGAACTGATTTTTTGTCCTTTGCTTCCCACTTCCTGTGGGAATCAGAGCTTGAGCTGTGTGGTTGAGCTAAATTGCTGCTTTGTTGCTGTTTCCATATGGAAGGCTTTTTTTGCAGCTCAGGGTTTAATGGTTGACCTTATAGGTACTTCCAGCTCTCCAGAGACCTGGTGCACCTGGGTGGTGTAGAAACTCTGATCTAGGCCTGAGTTTTTCCATCAACCTACACACCATACAATTCTGCATTCCAGGCCAGTCTCCTCTTAGTGGTCCTGTGCTGACTGGGGGTCAGATCAGCTGTCCTTGCTGTGTCCCAGTGTTCTCTCGGTGGACCTGTCTCTCCCACTGCCCATGCTCCAAACGGGGCCTGTGCTGGTCCCTTGCGATGACTCATTGGCCTCTGAAAGGCTCCCCTTTTTCAGCTGTTCTGGCTCCTCCTGTGTGGCTCCACGGGAACCCTATTAGTGGTCTTGCTCTTCTGGGGGCCACCAAGGCCCTCTTCTTCCTCCCTGCTGCCTCCAAGTAACTCCATCTGAAGGGCACAGCTGCGGCTTCTGCTGGCTCCTGCTTCATGCACTCAGCAGTTCCAGCCTTGAAGTGGCCACAGCACAAAATGCTCAGAGCAGTTTTTTCTTTCTGTCATCATGGTTTCTCCCACCTTCATGAACTCCATAGGTCTCTCCTTCTCTTCCCCTGAGCTCCAGCAGCCCCAGCTTGGCTGATGTTACATTTTTACAGTTGTAAATTTGTGGATTTGTGGGAGAGAGGGATGCTGGGCAACGTCTATTCTGCCATCTTGACCAGAACATGATACGGGATTTTTAAAGTATCATTCACCAAAAATGTTTTTTACTACCAGTCAGAAAACAGATAAGCTGATATTCATGACTACTGCTTTTTTCAATAAGAATCTGCAACCTGGGGGGAATAAGGTAATCTGACTCCTGTTGCACAAACAGCAGAGAGGTCTTTCTTCAGTACAATGGACTGACAATGAGTATATTTTGTTAGATAAGTTATGAAGAACTTTGAAACAGACCAAAAGATTACTGAGTGTATTCAATGGCAAATAAGTCATCTAGCATATGCTTCTGGGTTATCTGTTTCTATGGGGACTCTGAGCCTTTGAGCTATTTTACAACTCCATACGTTATAGATAACTGATAGCAGTGTACCTAATACTTGTCTACAGACTTGAAAATTCTGTCTGATGGAGAGACAAGTGATTTATCTGCACTCATGTTTGAAAGTTGCTCAAGAAAAAACTGTACTAAACAAGCACACACAAAGAAATTATATTGGGATTCTTGGGTTTTCTCCTAGTATCTTTTACAGCACAGATTATACTGCATTGTAATTCACAATTTATCTACTTTACTCTCTCAGACTGTGAGTTCCTTGAAGGGAGAAAATAGGTCATTTTCTCTGTATCACTTCGGTTGCTGAAGACAATAAGGCATCATGTGGTTAGTTAGATATTTACCAAAATTAAGACCATAAACTACAGATTGGGCCTATATATTAGTTAGTAAATGAATGTGTTTCATTTGCTACCAGATTCAGATACACAGAAGGTATACAATGTTCAAGCATACCATGTTAATAAGACGAGGGAAAGAAAGAATAACAATGACAGAAGTCAGCATAAATCTATTTTCAAACTGGTCCCTGGGACCATGACTTTGATAATTGTCCTTATTTTAATAGACAAGCTTATAAAAAGCTTTTTAGAAGTATTTTTGAGACATGACCAAATTAGAATAATTACCTTTGAATTGTATTTATTTTCTCTTCATTGTTTCCTTGATCCATTACACAGACCCAGTGATCATAGAGATTTGATGAAAAAATGCTTCCAGGAATACTTCGCAGAAATTCCTTACATAGATGGAAAAACAAACATTTTAAATCATTATTCTTATGCCAAATATGTATTGGAGAAATAAGAAAGAAAACATCTTGTTGAAAGTTCTGTGAAGTCCTCCCTTCTTCGTACTACACAGAGCTCTGTGCCCGCTTCTCCACTGACTTCTGCACATGGAAACATGTGCTTTTATTTTTTTCTAACAAAACCATTTGGATAACCAAGGTCTGGATGATGGTGAGAAAGAAAAAGGACAACCTATTTGGGCCAAAACCTTCTGTTTTATGTATTTTAAGCAAATTTGTACTTTATAGGGTCTGGCAGTAAACAATCTTAAATCCTTTTTTCCCTCCTTTCCCCTTAAATAGCTAGTACAAAGAGATGCACCAAGATATCTGTGAGATTCATAATCTGGTAATCATTCATTTGCTCATTCTATATATATTTATTCATCACTCTATATGTATTTATACATATACGTCAGGCACTGTTTGAGGTGCTAGGGAGAGAGAAGTGAATAAAACCAAGTCTATGCTAAATAGTATGTCCATCGTACAATATCCTTTCTTAGAGATCCCATTCTGCTGAGACCACTGGCAGGGCTAAGTGTGGTGAAACTAGATGATGACACAAACAGGATAGGACCAAGGGCATTTGCTGTTTGGATTTTTGTTTATCAAAAGATTAAAAATAAAATACATTTGGTCTTGGTCCTGGAGAGTTCATTCTAGGCCAATTTTCTCTGTTGCTTTCAGTATGGCAACAAGAAGGCCAAGCTTGCAGTCTCATCTCCCGTCAGTAAACTTTAGTCAGAGAAAACTCAATTCTTTGTCAATGCCAAGCACAGCCCCAGCCATAGTGGAAGCCATGACTGAACTGCTGCTATGTGTCACATGGGAAAATATTAATGGGGGACAAGAGAAGGCTAATCAACTGTAACTGAGATTCTAAGATAATTTTAAGAACATCCTTGTAGTCACTGTGTTAATATATTCTTTTTAGAGTGGTAACAAGAAGAAGGATGGATTAATTCAAAGTTTTCCACTGTTCCCTTGTACCTTCAGTAGAAATATACCTGGATACTTGTGGATCAGATATATTATCACAAAACTTACCTTTTTCGGTAAAGCTATTGAACTTTCATAACTCCAAACTAATTTTAGCTGCTGCACCCACTTTAAGAGTCAAAAGAGAGGCACAATTTGTTATTTTAAAACAGGGTGCTGACAATAGCTCTCTTTTTAAATCTCAATGGAAAACATACGTATGATCTGCCTTGAAGAAAAACATCATTAAATCTTAAACTTACACTTAAAGGATAATAACTCACAATATCTCAATGAACTCTCCCACAGCTGGAATAACAAGTTATGAAATAGAGCCACCATCACAGCTGAGAAGGATGTGCAAGCTGGTTCTGAATTACAATCACCAACTCACAGAAACCACAGCTCAGACCCTCAGCAGAACTCTCCGATTCATTTGAGATGAAATTCTGCCAGATTAAATATGAAATTTTCCTTAAAGGTCTGATAGATCAAAGCTATAGTGTCTCAAGCAATTTTTGTCTAATTATAGTTTGAGAAGTTAAATTTATACTATACCACTTTAAAACAGTCTTAAAAATGAGAAACAAAAGTCCAAAAACTTTTGGCAAAATTGATCTCCTTTCATGAAAGCACTTGGAAGAAATGTGACTAAAACACAGTTACATAATTATAAACCTTCAATTATTTGGAACCTATTTAACCAGACTCTTCAATCATTTGGATAATTTTTTGTCTTTTGCTTATTTTTGGAAAAATAATATTTCTGCAATCTAAAACACAAATGAACTCTTCTAGAACCATGCTTCTTTGTAATAGCCTCAAAAATTTAGCACAAAGTTTTAAGAAGTATGGT